AGAATTGATTGAAACAATTTTTCTCACATGAGGCCTTCAGTGCTTTCTGTTCACTTTAACTATGTTATTGCAATGTATGTTTTAAGATACACACAAAAAATGCATCCTAGATAGTTTTCAGCAGCCGGATTAAAAGTAAAAGGTTTCTGCTATTACTCTAAATTAGAAAATTCAAAGACTCTAATGTCTGTTTTAATAACATAGTCATGGTGGATATGATAAATGTTTGAAGTGAGCATCTCACATTATAAATAGCATTGATGCTAATATGTGGTTGGGTGGCCCTTCAAAACTCTGCAGTCATTTGGTCATTCTTACTGCATTTATATTTTTAAAATGTTACCTTTTAAGGAATAGGAAATGAGGCAGTACTGTGTTGTGCTCTGAAACTGGTAGAGATGAGGCTGTAAATGAGGCTGTAATTTACTTTCAGTGGTATAAAGGGAAAAAAAAAATCACTTTGCCTAAAGTGTATGCATCTTTCTTAAGGGTGTACCCAGATTTTAATTATCTAAATGTAAATACTTAACGAATTTTACTTAGAGTAATGAGCTAATGTGCACACTACATAAATGAGATGTTCTAATTAATCATGTATGAACTACTGGTTTAAAGAAAAGCTATGTGAATTCTGTGAATGTTGGGCTATTGCCAAATTGCTAATCAGCATTTGCATTCATAGATGACTTCACTTAATAATTTGTGAGACATTCAGCAAATGTTTTAGAAAATTATGAGTTCTTACATGCAAAAACTTTTTACTCTTAACCTGTTTTTTGTTGTTGTTATCCACATGAGCCTTTGACTGCTTCTTAGAAACCGTAGGTAAACAAACATTCATTCTGAAGAGATTAAAATAGAGCCAGAGAAATACGAGGAGAGCTAACATTGCAGGTATCATTCAGGAGTCTTGAATTATTTATCAAAACATAAGCCATATCATAGATGTCTGTTACCATAATGTGTGAGTTAGTTTGTAGGAATTAGCAATGTTATATGTACAAATAAATGCTTCCATAGTCTAGTACAGCAGTTCTCAAACTTTTTGGTCTTAGGACTTAAATTCTTAAAAATTATTGGAGAACCCCTTAAGAGCATTCACTTGGTTGGTTACATCTATCTATCAATATTTATTATACTAGAAATTAGAAATATTTATTAATTTAAAAATAAGAACAATAAGCTATTATGTTAACTTAAATAACATTTTTTAAAACCCCAAAACTCAAACTTTAGTGAGAAGAATGGCACTTTTTTTTACATTTTTGCAAAATTCTTTCGTGTTGGACTTCATAGAAGTCACCTGGATTCTCACGTATACTTCTGCAGTCAGTCATGTGGTTAAAGAAGAACATTATATGAAGAACATCTGGCCTCACACAGATATATCACTGGAAAAGGAGGATATATTAATAGCCTTTTTTAAAAAAGAATAGTTTATTGATTTTTAGAGAGGGGGAGAGAGAGAGAAACATTGGTATGAAAGTGTAGCATCCATTGACTGCCTCCTGCATGCCCTCTACCAGGGATCGAGTCTGCAATCTTTTGGTGCATCTTCCCATGCACCAAAAGGTTGCCACTTCGATTCCGTCAATGGCACATTGGGAATCAGTACCAAACTATCAGAAAGTCTAATGGGAAACTGTCAGGTTCACAGTGGTGGGTGCAGATCTTTTAAAATTATAATAATTAACTTCAAAACTCAAATTTCACCACTGGCACAACTACTATCACCTGTTTTCTTTAACATGACAGGCTCACTGGCTTCATTTTTGAGAAAACATCTGCCAAACACCTAAGTTCAGATAATCATAATATGTCTATTTTGCTTTCAAATAATAATGTTTCATGAAAAAAAAGCAGCTTTACTTACAACTTAATCACACAAGTGCTTTTTCTTGGGATAACTATCCATCCATATGCAGAGAAGTACTTTTTGTGTGCTTCCCATTTGTCACACAAAATATTAAAGACTTAGTCAAGTGTTGAGATACAATAAAATGAATAATTTCTCTTGCTTCATGGGGAGAGAGTCCTAAGTGAATCAGTTTTTGTTGTTGTTGGTGGTGGTGGTGGTGTGTGTGTGTGTGTGTGTGTGTGTATGTGTATGTGTGTATGTATATGAATGCATGGTAATGACAAGTGAAAAAAGAAACATCAAAGATTACTGATAGTACTGTTTTCCAAAGAGTTTTTAATAGCACATTGGTCTGCAAGATGCCATAGTGCTGTCCAATAGTTGCCACTAGTCACATGTAGCTATTGAGCCTTGAAATCTGGTCAGTCTGAACTGCAATGTATTATACATGTAAAATACATACTAGATTTCAGAGTGTATGAAAAAAGAATATAGCATGTGTTATTATAGTTTTTCTATAGTTATGTGTTCAAATGTTAATATTTTAATATATTGAGTTAAATAAAATGTTAAAATTAGTTTCACCTTACTCTTTTCTTTTTAATATGGCTACTAGAGAATTTAAAAATTTTATATGTGGGTCTTAATACATTTCTTTTTTTTTATTTAAATATGTTTTATTGATTTTTTTACAGAGAGGAAGGGAGAGGGATAGAGAGTTAGAAACATCGATGAGAGAGAAACATCGATCAGCTACCTCCTGCACACCCCCTACTGGGGATGTGCCCGCAACCAAGGTACATGCCCTTGACTGGAACCTGGGACCCTTTAGTCCACAGGCCGATGCTCTATCCACTGAGCCAAACCGGATGGGGCGGGTCTTAATATATTTCTGTTGGACACCACTACTCTAGAGAATAGAGGTTTTGTGATCATATTTACTTGGGAAAAGTTGGATATACCATTCCCCTTTGAAGATTTACTATGCAATTGGCATGATGGAAGTACCGAGGAGTCCTGCAAAAATAAAAAAGAGCCTTTTAAAATTTTGCTTAATATTGCATTACCCAAACATACTGTATTGGCCATATATGAACATTTTCTGGAACTAGCTATAGAAGTATAGAACTTGCTGATCCCAGTTTGGGGAAACACTTTTAGTTTAATTTTCTTCATTTTACTGATGATAAAACTAAGGCCTGGAGTTTCTCAAATTATATGAACATCTCTTCAGGGAAAATGCAAGAAAAAATAGACATATTTCTTGGCAGGGCAGCCGCTTGTTTTTAGCTCTGCATAAGATCATTCACAGTGACAGTGGAGCAGGGAAAATCTTAAATTTACTTTTATTTTGGTTTCCTAAAGATAGAAAAAATTTCTGGTTTTAGAGTTGCAAAGTTCCTTAATATAATTTTGTCATAATATAGGATAATAATTCCTAGCCTTTTTTAGTTAGACTAAGAATCCAAAATGAAAACAAACGAAAACTCCACAGTTGTCCCTTAAGGAAATACACACGTGCATACAACTTGTATATGATTTCAGGGAGTCATGGACATCCTAAACTTCTCCATGGACTGCAGGTTAAGAATTGTTCTCTTATATTTCAGGGATAATATATTTAAGGCTATTAACATTGTTCTTGAATTGTAATACAAAAACCCACCAATCAATAGATGTTTATTGGATGCTTACTGTGTATATTACACAATTCTGCACTCTGAAGATTTCCATAAGTATAGCATGATACCACTACTCACAAGGAATTTTACATTTCTTAAGACATAAAACATATGAAAAATTTTAACTGGTAAGCAAGACTCTCTTTATCTTACTTTAGAAATATTTATAGAAAAGCCCTGTAAAAGCTTAGAGAAATTGAAACACCCAGTGTACTTGAAAGGTTAGTTCTCTAATGAGCAGTTAGAGAAACCATCATATGCTGGATATGAACAATGTTCAGGTTATCTGTAGGGAAGTGGACATTATTTTAGCTTCAAAATGTATCTTGCCCTGATCAATGATTGTTCTGTCTGCTCGCCCTATCTGGGGCATCTGTGCAGTAAGATGCAGAATTCTCTTAACAAAAATGCCAGAAGATGTTCTTTTTATTCAAGGACAGATGCTTTATTTACCCAGGCAGTACTGGCTTTCAGTGTAAGTGAACTGAAAGAGATGGGGGCTGAGGATTGTTAACTAAAACCTGATTTGTTAAGACCCAAATCTGATCAGGATTTGCCCCTCCCCTGAAGAGTTGAGCTGCCTTGCCCATCTTCCAGAGATGGCTCATGTCCACTAATAGGACCTACACCACAGCTAAATTACACTAGGACGTTGACATGCTTGTCATTCAAGGCCTTTATATGCTATCACAAACCTGAATCCCTTCTTCTCTATATAGTCTCTCAGTTCCTCTGAACTTGCCACATACTATTATGTCCAGTTTTCCTTGTACCTGGACTTCCTCCTGATTTCACCTTTATCTACCTGTCAAAAATCCTATCCATTCTTTAAACCCCCATTGTCACTTGTGCCATGCAACCTGCTGTGATCGCTACCTCCAGATGAGAACACTCCCTCCTTTGAACTTAGGAAGCACATATTCCTAGCTCTCTGTGACACTTTGCACAGACTGCCTTGTTTGAAAATTAGTTTTGTTATATATTTTATCACACTGAAGGCCAGGTCTATATCTTGCTCATTTCTGTGTCCCTTAATAGCACTTAGAAGAGTTTGAACTTCATAGTCCTTCAGTAAACATTTGTTGAATAAATGTAAAACCTCAATGAAATTAGAAGGTGCCTAGTATTAACAATAATACTAAGATAAATTTATATTTATCTATAAGAGTTGGTAGAGAGCATCCCCCACTGGGAACACCTCATTTTGGAACTGGGACAAGGTTAGAGGGAAAGGCAGTTAAGTGCAGTGTCTCCCTTGCATGTCTGGCCATTCAGTTTCAGAATTCTTGTTGTGCTAACTACCACTGCCATTTCACCAGTGTCTTCGTTTTCATCTTACCCTACCCACTGTATCATGCCATTGGCAACTGCAAATGAGGTAGAAATTCAAATGAGTTAATGTCTGGATGTGATCATATAAAATACCAGATTTCTAAAGAGTGATTTTTCCTCCCTTACAGGCATGTAATGAATTCACTACACATGTGATGAACCTTCTCCGAGAGCAGAGTAGAACACGTCCCATTTCCCCAAAAGAGATTGAAAGAATGGTGGGCATCATCCATCGAAAATTTAGTTCCATTCAGATGCAGCTCAAACAAAGCACTTGTGAAGCAGTTATGATTTTAAGATCAAGGTTCCTTGATGCCAGGTATGTAAGGCCACAGATCTATTGCGTGGCTTTCCTCCCCTCCCCCCTTTTTACTCCTTGTATGTTATTTCCTATAAAAATGGTTAGTTGGTTTTAGATACTTTGTTAATTTGGCTGTAAGAGCTCTTCTCTACGATGGACAGGTAATTCACCTCATGGTGTCTGTGCTGTCAAGCCTCTTGTCTGGGAGTGGTAGTGTATTAGCTTCCAGTTTGGTGGCATGGGAAATAGGATTAGTGCTGCTCCTAATGACTTAGAAGATGTGGCCTTTGAAATCTGATACTAAAAAAGTATTTTTAAGGATAACTTTCAGTGTGTAACTCTGTTTTAACAAAGGCTTGTTTTCTAAGAATTTCTTGATGTTACATTGCTTGTGTACATTGTAAGAAAATAGTTGGGAATACTGATGATCCTAAGAAGGAAGTGGTATTTTAGTTAATAGAGGTGACCACAAAGCCCCAAAGTCTGTTTTTCCAAATTAAGTAAGAAAGCCTCTCAGTTTCTCCTGTAAGGATGAAGATTTCCCTTTTACCTGAAGCTTTCGCCAATTTTCACAGGAATTAAGTGATAAGTTGTATATGATGTGTCTGACCTACCAGATAACAGAATAAAAGAATTGTCAAGTTGCTACTGCATGCTGCCTCTGCAGGGTTGCCTCTTGAGCATTGCTAAAGCTTGTGGTCAATCTTCAGCTTTGGAAAGGAGTGTCTGTTTCATTTGGCTTTTTCGTCCTTGGAATCTGACAGGAAAATTATCATCCAAATTTTACAGTATTAGAGAAAATAACTAAGTTCGCTTCTCAACTGGAAAACAAGGTGTGTGGAACGGTTCTTCATGCCAGAGCTCTTCCTTAGAGCCAGATAAGGAACGTCTGCCACCTGATTTAACTACCTTTGCTCCTAGGTTAGCAGGTCCCTGTATCACCCCTGGGTCCCTTCTTCTTCCCAGTAAGCATTATCTGTGCACCAGGCAGCTGTCGGTAGGCTTGACAGTTTCAGCACTTATTCTAGATGTTTTCCGCCCTGCTCACCGAACCACCTACTCAGTGTGCCTCAGAGTACCCCCAGGTCAGGGCTTTGTTTTCTTTTCAAGCCATGCATGACTCCTGCAAAAATGCTAATTGCTGTTCTTGGTATATATCTTCCTCCCCTTCTCTGTCTTCCCTTACCATCTCCCCATCCAATTAATCATCGAATCCTGCTGATTTTAATCCCCAAATAGGTCTTGAGTCTCTTCTTCATCCCTTAGGAAACAGTGGTTTAACCTTCCACAGTTTTGAAATAAGAAATTTTAGGTTTGATAACTTGAGATGTTTGGATCAGACCTAGATTTCTTGCTCCCTGGACTCTTCCTTGATGTTGAGACACAGATGACACGCTTAACCTCCCATGTTAGCGGCATCATTGTTACTAGAAGAATCTCATAAGGGTCTACACCAGCCATGGGCAAACTACGGCCCGCAGGCCGGATCCGGCCCGTTTGAAATGAATAAAACTAAAAAAAAAAAAGATCGTACCCTTTTATGTAATGATGTTTACTTTGAATTTATATTAGTTCACACCAACACTCCATCCATGCTTTTGTTCTGGCCCTCCGGTCCAGTTTAAGAACCTATTGTGGCCCTCGAGTCAAAAAGTTTGCCCACCCCTGGTCTACACATTTACAACTGCCTACTGACTGTCTTTTCTGAGTGTAGCATATCACAAGTGAGAAGATCATTAAGATTATTTGGAAGAAAGTTATTTGGGGAAAGTATATTTCAGTTACTAGAGAATCTGATTTAAGGTGAAGTTTGACAAATGCTAATTTTCGGGCTGGAATTCTTTAAAAACTTAGTAACAAATGGCATTTTTGCTATTTGATGTAAATTGTTAATAAACACTTGATCTCCTGACATTCTGCCACCTCTCTCCAGTAAATAAATATTTTCCTCCCCTAGTGTTTCTCTGTGAGCAAATCTTACCTTAGTCTAGCAGTTGCTTAAACAGACAAATCTAGAAACCCCTGATGTATTTTTTCCTTAACTTCCTTTTCTGTTTTCTCCACCCATTTCCCCCTCCCAACTCATCATCAAGTCCTATTGCTTTTACCTTTCAAATAGAGCTTGAATTTTTTTATTCCCATTACTCTTACCTTATGCTATTACCATCATCTCTCAATTTGACCATTGCAGTTGTCTCCTTAAATATATCTGTATTTCCTTTCATGTTCTCCTCCCACTATTAGCAGTCAGAACAAATCTTTTTTTAAAAAAGGATTTAAAATCTTTAAATAGCTTTCTCCTAGTAAAATAAAATCCAAAAATTCCTTTTTTTTTCTCATTTAACTTAGTTATTTTAATGGGTCATGTTGTTTCCATTAAAAAGTACTGATTTTAAAAACTAATAACTTAAAAACTGCCACCAAAAATTTATTATTTTTTAAAAAATATATTTTATTGATTTTTTACAGAGAAGAAGGGAGAGAGATAGTTAAAAACATCGATGAGAGAGAAACATCGATCAGCTGCCTCCTGCACACCTCCCACTGGGGATGTGCCCGCAACCAAGGTACATGCCCTTGATGGGAATCAAACC